GCTATATCAGCAGAAAGCTCACTCCTGTTGAAGAGAGATACACCACAGCTGAACAAGAATGCCTTGCAGTTGTCTTCTGCATTTCAAAGCTGAAACGCTACCTTCTGGGACGTCCTTTTCTGTTACAATCTGATAACAAACCATTACTGGTTATCAAGACTGGAGTCCCGAAAAACAACAGAATTGCTCGTTGGGCACTACTGCTTCAAAACTACAAATTTGAGATCAGCCACATCAAAGGTATAGACAACAATTTGGCTGATCTGTTGAGTCGTCTATGATGACTATGACGTCAATATCCACAACTCTACTGTACAAGACAGAAACATTTTCGATCTATGATGATTATACAGTATTCAACAACTTTTATTGCAGATCGAAAAGATATATATATATCAATATTCTTTTCAGAAATTGGAAAATAATTTATCCTTTTGAAAATAGTCAACGATGACACCAACAGACACTTCAATATGGTGTTCATCATTTTCCACATCAATGCTTTATCTGATATAATATACAAATACACAAACAGCCAGATGATTAGGTACTGCATCCAAAAACCAACATTGTGAAAGACTCATTAAACCGAGCTTACCTACAGCAAGAGCATTTCAGTAACATATTTACCTATCGACTTTGTGCTAGACGTTTCAGGAAAGAACTGTTCATATTGCAGAAATACCAAAAATGTGGCAAAACTAGATGTATCTCCTTCAAGCAATAATGTAAACTCTTACAGTTGCAAGATCTTATCTGATATGACATTCTAAATTTCAAAGGCATCATTCTAGAATTCAAGGCGAAGTGAATATTCGTTAGAACAATATACAGCTGAAGATTTCAATTCAAGGAAACTGAACTCATTGAACACTGAAAGCATTCAACTTAATCGTTTAAACACACTGGAATTCAAATTATTATGGCAACAAAAGTGGAATCGTCAATGACAGTGGATCTGGACATCAGCGACTGGATCATCGTCAACTTAGAGTATGACTGATGAGTGAATGTACATTAAAAGTGAATGAAAGGACAAATGACACGTGGGGACTATAGAAATATTCACGTCACTACGATAAATTTATGTTAAATGTGATCATGATCTGATAAATTCAGTTGATTACATACGTTATTTTCTATTCGTTAAATGTTATCAATGTTTATGTGATCGTGAATTAACATATTATGTGTAATCCATTACATGTTCTATATGTTATGTGTTAGTGTAATATGTTTGGTTTGTTACATATTGAAGGTTATACATCTGATTCATCAGATTCCTCTTTGATATCTATGTCTTGTTGTGAAATATTTTGTATTCATGTTGCAAATTGGATGTACACATTATTTATTTTTAAAATGTAATCTTTGGGTTGATTTTTCAGCTTGGAAATGTAATTTTTCTCTGGTGATTTTCTTTTTTGGTTTTCAATACGTAATTTTTCCATTTTCTCCTAATCGTTAAAGTTAAACTATAACGTATAAAATTTTGCAGGTTTGCATTTCTAACATTTCTCCGTGAGTAATTGTAAGTTAAATGTGACATGTTGGTTGTTGAGAGGTCAACCACACATTTGGGTTCTGTGGATGGCACCGCAATAGTCAACTAGTTACACATAGTATTTTTTATGTAATAGGAAATTATTATATAAGGTCGAGACTAGGTAGGTAAATAATATTTTTGACAATAGGACACGACGTGGTAACATATTATTTGAAATAATTTGTATTTATTTTTCGTTGGTTTTGGTAATTATGTAAATTTGTAGTAGATTTTGGCTGACAATAATTTGGTTAATTATTTTATTTTGTTTTTAAATAAGAAACTTATAAACCATATTTGAAACTTTAATATTGTTAGAAGAGATTGTCGCTCCAGAGGAGAGATCACTGAGTATATATGAAGGTGATAGAAACCTTGTACATTAGGGGAAGTTTCATGTTACAGGTGACATTGTCCATGATTGTTGCAAATGTGTCGTACAGGCCACACTTGTGTTTCTATATACTACACTATATGTCTAGAGGTATGACATGTGTCAGCGGCAGGTATTGCTAGGTAATTTTAGACACATTATTCGACGGGATGTCAAGGAGTCGGGATGACTTAGTTAGAACCATAGAAGGGTCATGTCTATGACGACCATTGTTATGTTCTCAATGGCGTACAACTCGCACGAGAGTGGAGTTGGGTTCATGTGGGTCCCGGGCGGTTAATAGTCCACCCACAATATTATATAATTAGTCTTAACCTCTATGACTACAAAGTGTTAGTTAGTAGTGGCGTACTTGTGACATGTTGTGATACTATTGGTAACTTCATGGTTTAGTGTTGTCCTTGTATATGTACATGTCCCATAAGGATGTAAAGATACGTTGTTCTCAGGTGACTGACTCTCATTAGGAAACATCTCAAATCTATGTTGATAGGAACTTTCATGACTGTTTGGTGACAATAATTGGGGGAAGAAAGCAGGATATCTGGAGATGCACTGAACTGAATGTAGACACAATTCTGTCGACATCCCATACCCAGGTAGAGATACTTGACTCCAGACGTAGATATGTTAGGTAGACGTCTGTCATCAGGAAGTATCTGTCCAAAAGGAGGGGTGGATGTCAGGGTTCGCCCTGCTATGGGACAGTTCAGGATGATGATGATGAATCTTGTCATCGTACCCTGCGACCCTTAGTGACACTCAATACGTGCATACACACGTAGAAACGAGCATGAGCGGACTTCGCACATGTGTGCACATTTTGGACCGGACGCTGAACGCTTGCTTGGGGGACTGCGAGGAAACTGGACGTGGGACGAGAGTGGATTTTTGACTGACCGTTTGTTTTGACATGAAGATAGGTACCAGCGTAGTGATTAGATGTAACGTGTTCTGTTCATAGTTTCATGTAAAGTAATAGTTGTAACTAGAAGCCAGACCATGCTTTGCTGGTGGCGTTAACACTGTCGACGCACTTAGGCCTACACATTGGCGCATGCCATAACGTCTTTGGCATCGAGATATAGCGGGTTGAGCTGGCACTGTACGGGAGAGTGGTAGCGGCTCAGAGCTTAATTCATAAACGTGTAAAGGCGCCTCTAAGCGATTTTAAAGTTAGACGCGGCCTGGGTTTTGAATAAGGAGCGCTACTCCTCCTGAGGTGTACCACCACTTCGTTTGCATCTTTGGTAATAAAGATTGTGTGTGCGTTGCAACAAGTGTTTGGCTTGAGTGTGTTTGTACGGTGTTTTCCTGTCATTAGCCTATAGCAGAGCCAATGGAATCGAGCCCTAGACAGTTAGGTTTCTGACAACTGTGTTGAGATTCTTCTAGTGTGAACCATCCAGAGACTGAGCACTTACAAATTAAAATACTGTACAAATGAAACAAACATCCGTTTTATATTCTGATACATGGTTATATTAATAATAAGCATATGACACTAAAATTGTAACAGACATTTTACTATCTATATCGACTCTGTAAAAACATTATTCAGTTTTATTGTACATATTATTAAAAAAAAAAAAAAAAAAAAAAAAAAAGACCCTGTTCACATCATTGTCCCAAGGGGAATATGGTCTTTAGCCCACACTGTTATGTCTCACTCGGCACTTTATGGGTGATGTAGTTGGTATCTACTGTAGGCTGCATCGAAATGCGAGCCACAGGTCATTTATGAAAATCACAATCGCTGCGGATCTAAACCCGAGAACTTTGGGCCAGCATTCACTGCGCTATCACAGCTTCCCTCTGTACATATTATTATAAAAATAAGTCTCAAATACATCATTAATATGCTAAATTTTTTTAACCGTACAACAAAGTTGAACATCCTTTAAAATGTCTTGTAGTGGCATAGCCATACTACAATAATACAATTACATCAGTGTATATTTATAGCAAAAAATAAATAAAAATAAACAGCAATCACTGAATTACTAAAGCTGTAAAACTCAGAAGCTAAAAAAAAAAAATCATAAAATTTTTTTTAGTGAATTAACAGGTGTCTGATGCCTGTTGTGCCATACATATATATATCAACCCTTTCTATAATGAGCTTTAAAGTTATTCTTTTAACGGATGTTTATATGTGTGTCTGTCTTTCTCTCTCTCTCTGTTTACACACACTCACACACATATATATATATATATGTGTGTGTGAGTGTGTGTAAACAGAGAGAGAGAAAGACAGACACACATATAAACATCCGTTAAAAGAATAACTTTAAAGCTCTTTCTCAGGAACCCATGGGGCAAGAGAAATAGAGGAAGATCTAAAAAAAAAAAAAAGCATAGATGGATGTTTGCATAACAAACATAGGGAGAACTTGAAAGGAACTGCAGAAGACACAAAAGAGATAAAAGACAGTTTGGTTGAGTTGTCCTAAAGTTAATGCTGATGCCCTGAGATATTAAAAGGCAAATGGTAACTGGTTAATGAAGCCGGAAAACCTTCACTGTTTGTTGATCGAATTACACAACAAATATCATAGAACACACCACTAGCAGATACATCACAGATATCATTACATAGTATCATTGCATGATTAAATTCATATTACAATATATTTGCCGTGACAGAGATCATTCCGAATATGTTGTTGAAAGTTACAGGCCAGTTAACATTTAGTGGTCAGTTAACATATAATGATCAACTGACAGTGGTCAGTTACAGGTCTGTTAACACCTTGGTGGTCAGTTACAGATTAGGTGACATCTTGGTGGTTAATTACAAGTCAGTCAGCATCTTGGTGGTCAGCTAGAGGTCAGTTGTTCCTATGGTACTTTACAGGTCAGTTGTTATAATATTGTCAGTTACATGTCAGCTTATTTCTCAGTGGTCAGTTATAGGTCAACTGACATTATAGTGGTCAGTTACAGGTCATTTGTTATCTAAGTGGTCAGCTAACATCTCACTACAGGTCAGTTGATATCTAAGTGGTCAGCTAACATCTCACTGGTCAGCTACAGGTCACCTGACATCCTAGTAGTATGTTACAGATCAGTTGACATCTTGGTGGTCAGTGCCTGGATCCGTTTAGCGTTGCAGTTCTTGCACAAGATGTGGTCATCCAGAGGATAGCAGCCCTGGCCTTCAGCCTCGGAGCTCAGCTGACACTTACAGTCCTGGACATGACAGAAAGAAAGAAAAATCACCACTGTTGGTCAGCAGCTGATTTGGTGAGTAAATAAAGAACACATCACATTTTTACGTGTATTGGCCGTAAAGGTAGAGTAAAGGTGACAGAATTGGCTTCACTGCACCGGGTTTTATCCCATATGGCTCAGTCTCTCTCCATAGAACAGCTGCCTACCAAGAGCGTTGCACAGAGCATGACCTCCATAGCTTTGGCAAAGATCCCCAGGGATCTCTGTAAAAACTGCACTTCTGAACTGCATCTCCTCTCTTAGTCTCCCAAATTCCTCTCTTGTCTTCCAACTTTCTTGTTGTCATTACCTTTTGCCTTTCTGAGGACATTTCTAAAGAATATGAACTGGACATCTTCCCCTGATATTGAGTAATCCGTTTTCTTTATGAGTTAATTTCTTGAAGACATCTTCATTATGCTTCTTAACCTAGATTAACATGGAGAAAACACATCAACAAGGCAGCAACCAAAGCCAGAAGGAGGGTAGCCATTCTGAGAAAACTAAGTGCACGTGGGGTGCTAGCGGGAAAATACTTAGAAAAGTTTACCAACAAAGTGTTCGACCACATCTTGAATACGGATCAACAGCATGGAGTTCGGCATCAAAAACCACATTGCAAGAATTAGACAAAGTGCAAAATCAAGCACTCAGAGTTACCACAGGCAGTATGAAATCAACACCTATAGCTGTGATGGAGAAAATGGGGATGACCCAAGCACTGAGTGAACGCAGAGACACCAAGATGCTTTTACAAGCAGAAAAGTTTCTTAGTATGCCCAGTCACCCTATGAATGAAAGATTCCAAAATTTAGCTTTGGGACGACTAAAGAGAAGTAGTTTTATCCACCAGGCCAAACAAACCACTGATTTACCTGCAACTGATAGATCCTTAAATGCTGTCCCAGAACGGACCCCCTGGAGAGAGGAGTATAAGTTTCCAATACACATCAAGACTGAAGTGAAAGGGGTATTTGACAAGGAAGAACAAAACAGTGTGCAGCGCAAAACAGCCACCCTCAGTCTACTTGATGATGAATACCCGCAGAACCTTTGGGTCCGTGTTTACACAGATGGGTCAGCAGAAAGCGCAGTCAGAAACGGAGGTGCGGGAGTGTACATTGAGTATCCTAATAATACCAGGGATACAGCCAAATTACCAACGGGAAAGCACTGTTACAACTATGATGCAGAAGTTCAAGCCATCAAGATAGCGGCAGAGAAACTACTAAATACAGGGTATTTTTCACAACCAGTGGTATTCCTGACAGATGCAAAAGCAGTACTTCAGTCACTCCAGTCTGGAAAATTACCAAGCATACGGACACTATTATCCGAACTAGGCAACCGCTGTAAATTAGTAATGCAGTGGATACCTTCCCACTGTGGAGTTCCCGGAAACGAAAAAGCTGATAAACTAGCTAAGGAAGGCGCAACTGAAGAACAACCTAACATACCAGTCTCTTATCAACAGAAGAAGAGAATGATCAAATCAATCAGAATGCCACCGAAACTGGCACAAGATGATTACCATATTATGGACAGACCAGAGCAAGTCATTATCCTTCGCCTTAGAACAGGGCACAATCGACTTCGCTCCCACATGTACAACAAATTTAAGATTGGCCAATCAGCCATGTGTACTTGTGGACTGGCACCTGAAACAACAGATCACATCCTTCAAGACTGTCCCAGATTCAACGCTTTCAGGCAAAACCTTTGGCCAAAAGAGACACTTGTGGAAGTCAAACTTTACGGGCCGCTTAGTGAATTACAAAAGACAGTGAAATTCATACTAGAGACAGCTTTGCAGATATAGACAATTTATTTCATGCGAACGAAAGAAGAAGAAGAAGCTTCTTAACCCTTTTGTCTGAGAAGCCACACTTTTAGCTAGTACCATTTACACAAATCTATCCCACCAGGACATCACACAAGGAATAAACACCCGATGACACAATGTGCCACCATGTGGGTGAGAATCACCGTGGAGAGGTCCCAGAAACCGCGTTCAGCCTCTAGGCCATATTTATGGCCAGGCTATATTGCTGCCTCTGGCAAAAGCCAGAGTAGGGCTTCAAATAACAAAAATTTTCATCCTAAAAAGGACGAGAAGTATTGCATAAAAACACAATATTTACACAAATAGGCCACTTTTCCAACTTGCTTAAGAGAAATGTTTACAAGACGTCTAGCAAACAAAATTCATTGCACCTGTGCAAATATTCAGAGTGACAGGGATGACTAAATTTACAATTTAAAAAAAATAGCACAGTGAGTGAGGAGCGAATTGGAAGCGGATTAAAAAAAAAAGACTTTATTTATAGAAATTCCTAGGTCATATTTTTCTATTGGCTACAGTGGTCACTGTTCAATCAGGTTACAGGGTCAAGGGCTCTCTATAATTAGTTTACAGGCCCCAAGGGATGTAGCCCACATGATTCTATGATAAATTTGTTTTTATGGATTACTCCCCTCACTCTGTATTGTATCTTGAGTTTTATTAGATAATTTTGTGCGACTTTTTTTTGTGACGTGTAAAATGGTTGGTTTTTAAAAGGATTTATGTTTTCAGGAATTTCAGAAAAATGGGAATTATGAGAGCTTCACTTTTTTTTTCTCTCTAGGTCATTGGGGCAAAAAGGTTCAAGGGTTCACTCTCCACATTGTTATTTTCATAATTTATTAAACCAGATCTCTGCAACGTCCTTACTATTCCTAACTGACCTGTCCTCCATGATTTACTTGTTTAGCATATATTGATATTGTCGTCCCCATGCTGGAGGCAATTTTTCGTTATTTTATGCCCTACCCAGGCTTTTGCCAGGGGCCCTAAATATGGCCAAACGGCCAAAAGGGGTTTCTGGGACCTCTACACGGGTGATCCTCATCTGGTGGCACTTTGTGTCACCGGGTGTTAACCGCTTGTGTGATGTCCTGGTGGGGTACAACAAAAGAAAGAAAGAAAGAAAGAAAGAAAGAAAGAAAGAAAGAAAAAGAAAGAAAGAAAGAAAGAAAGAGAGAGAGAGAGAGAGAGATTTACTTGTCACCTGGATATCCATAAAAAAAGCAAACATGCAAATAGGAAGGTAGACAGATAATTACCTCACAAAGATAACAGCCAACATGGAATGACCTGTCCATAGCCACGATTCGCACCGTCTCATCCTGGCCAGGCTCGGGCATGATAGGGTACTGGCAAACACAGCAGCGTGGAGCAAATTTTCTGGACAAGAACACAACAGACACAGTCAACATTTGTTATCAAAGGCAGATAAAGATGCCTCAACATTTACTGGGAGACACATATGCATTTTCAACAGGGATTAGTCGTCGTCTTCTTCTTTATGTTTCCTGGCTGTGAACTCTGGTGGAAAGTTCTGGTTGTTTGTCACTTCTGGATTTTGCCTTGTTCAAGAATTTTGGTTTTTCATGCACATTTAAAAAAAAAACAGATCTGACTTACTTATATGCAGACTACTGGTTCCTTGACTCTCAGGAACAGGTACTTCTGACTTAGAAGAAAAAACCCTAATTAGTGGCTTTTTATTGTGGAAAGGGGGGGGGGGGCGCAGTGTCTGTTCTGCTTCCCTCCAAAGGCTGGAACAGGAACTCACACGTGGAAGTCGTTAGTGATAGGCAATTAAAGATATTCAACATTTCTTTAAAGCAAGAGGCATGTGGATATTCAACATTCATTGGTAAAGACAAAAAATGAGACATTCAGGAAACCAGATAGTCAACATTCATTTAAAAAGTCAGAGAAAGACACTCAAAATTCATCTCCAAGGGTGTATACAGATATTTGAAATTGTCTGAAGAAGGAAGGTATCAATATTCAGCTTGCAGACAGATAGAGACATTTAACCATTTTTGAAAAAGGTATATAGATTTTCAACAATTTTGGAAAAAGGTGTGCAAATACATTCAACATGTTTAGAAAAAAGGTATATAAAGACATCAACAAGTTTTGACAAAGGTATACAGAGATTCATGAACTGATTCACATTTAATGAAAAAATAAATGACATGGAAAAAAATGTTTATCTAGTAAAACAGGGAGACTGACAGTGCCAGATGTGGCCAAAGAATTCTCAGCTTAAGCAATAATTAGAGTTACCGCTTGGCCAGGAGAAGACCACAGACAAACTATGAGATACTAAATGAACACATGGAAATGGAGAACGCATCAGTAGCAAGTGGACTCACTTGTGGAAGTCCTCGATGCAGTGAATCTGATTAGTGGCATCCACAGTAAAAGGGATCCCATCCAGAGACTTGCCACAGACCACACACGTGAAGCAGTCGGGGTGGTAGGGCTTCCCCGTAGCTCGCAACAGCTGCAGAGAGGGATCAAATGTATACAGCAACAAATACTACACTAAACAGCTTCAAATGTCCACACATTATATCAACAAATAATATACAATATAGCAACATATCCTCACACAATACAGCAGCAACAACTTATCACATTTTATAGCAGCAAATGTTCACACTTTCTAGTAAAAATGTTCACATATTATAGCACAAAATGTTCACACATTATAGCAATAAATGTTTCCATATGTAAGCAACAAATGTTCATGTATTATAGCACAAACGATAACATATTACAGCAATCAAAATTCACAAATGATTACAATAAATGTTCACACAATCCAATGCACACATATAAGTTCTAAAATTCACACAACACAAATGGATATCTCCCTGGGTCTCAATCACATGTGGACATGCCCACAAGCACATGCCAGCCACCTTAGCTTCTCAGGGCTTCACCGGGTACTCACACAAGACTGGATTCGCCCTGGGAGCGAAGGTATTTTTTTTTAAAAAGGACCCGAGCAACAACCTTCCAATCCGAAGGTGAGCATCTAGCCGCTACACCACGGTGCTGGACTTTAAATGACATTGGCTCCCAGGATGACCCATTCTTATATGCCTATCAAATAAAGTCATGGGAAGTAAAAGCAGCCGGCGTGATGCCGACCACATCACCTACCAAATACAGACTACTCTATAAAACACATATCTAGCCCTATACATCAGAAGGTGTGGAAAAGCATCCTGTACTATACTGACTCATTACAAACAGTCCATTACAGCAGTGCTAAAAAACAAAATGATTGAAAAAGGTGCAAGTACTGCATACTCCTCAGAATAAAAAGTAAGCCCTGTTTTTAGTCCTCCTGCAATTAACACCACAGAGATAAACTCCTACCCAGTTCTGAACCTCTCCCTGTTCTCTGGGGCGCACACACAGCTTTTACATTCTCCTGTGAACTCCCTGGAAATCGCCGCGGCCGAGTGGCTAGACACTCGCCGCGGATCGGAAGGTCGTGGGTTCGCTCCCTGGAGGAGACGGACTATTTTCAAAAATGACATTGGCTCCCAGGTCAACCAAGCCTTGAGTTGGTACCTGGTGCAGTCCCAGGAAATAAAGGCGGCCGGCGTGATGCTGACCACATCACCCATCTTTTGCAGATTGGTCAATAAATATATAGGTCTAGCCCTTTAAAAGTGTGGAAAAGGGTCCTTAACTTTTTACTTTTTTACTGTGAACTCCCTACAATGTCTCAAACTTAACTCCTCCCCAACCATTTCTACTTCCCATCCATCAACCCTTTCTACAGTTCACACCACAGAGAGAAAGTCCTACCCTGTCTGTGATTGGCTTGGAACACACAGAGCATCGTTCAAGGGTGTTCTGTAAGCAAAGACACACATACAGCATAGATGAAGTACATGATAACAAATATATATATCATACAATAATGACATCTCATGGAAGATCTCTCACACACATACAAACATGAGACAGAAAGAGAGAGAGAGACACACACACACACATACAATATAGAGAAAGTACATAATAACAAACATATACCATAACAATAATGATATCTGATCAAAGCTATCTTTCTCTCTCTCTCTCTCTCAAACACACAAGCGCACGAAAAAAGATAGGAGACAGAGAGAGAGAGAGAGAGAGAGAGACACAGAGAGAGACAAACATATACAATATATAGAAAATACACACAAAAAAAGAAACATATCATAACAATAATGACATCTCATGGAAGCTATCTCTCTCACAAACACACACAGAGACAGGAGACAGCAAGAAAGAGATGCACACACACAATATAGAGAAAGTACATATAAATAATAAGAAATATATACCATAACAATAACGATATCTGACAGAAGCTCCCTCTTTCTCTCACACATGAAATAAGACATTAAATACACAGAGATGGGAGAGAGAAAGACACCAAGAGAGAGACAGACACACGCAGAGTGAATTCAAATAAAAATAAGAATGGTTAGTATGAACAAGATAAAAATAATACTATAGCAGTTACTGCTGTTGGCATTTGAAGTGTTAGGCCTTTGGACATCTCAGATATTGGATGTGTTGTGATGAAAGAAAGGTACAGATATCACAGCTTTACTGTAAACCACAACATGATGTGCCAAACACACTTTTGAGGGTAAATGCAGAAATAGAAGAAATCTTTCACCAAATAAGTCAAGTCATACAAGAATTAACAATGAGAACTGGCAAGTTCAAGGGCATCAATTTCAAACAAACATTAATTATCACACACTTACGATGTAGCAAACTTCACAGAAGGGTTTTGTTTCCATGGCGAAGAATGATTTACCCTGAAGTGGAGCATCTGCAAGAGAAAGAAAACTAGTTACTGGCTTTGTAACCTGAAATAAGTGGTGAAAAACTGGTTAGCCTCTTCAGAAATAGGGACAACTACAGCAAACCACTGCTGATAGGTGTGAAAATATTAATGATCACAACAAAAAAGGGTTGATAGGTCATATGCTGCCCAACAAAAAATCTATTAAAAAAAAAAATGCAAAATTTTCAGATAGCAGAAACAACACAATGAAAAAGTTGTACTTACTGCAGCCAACACAGGTGAAACAGCCAATGTGGTAGACGTTCTCTAGGGCTGTGCACGCATTGATACTGCCAGATACAGCATTGCCGCAGCGACCACACATCCCTGTAACAAGTTATTGTTGGAATATAATAGGGGGTCATGGATTTTTATCACAAATAACATATCACTGTTGCAAATAATAGTTAAATTTGTAAAAGTGGCGTCACAGAATTTATAATAAACAACACATCATTTTCACAAATAACTGTTAAATTATAATAGTCGATGTTAAAATTTATAATAAATAGCATATTTGTAATAAATAACTGTCACATTAGAATAGTACATTTGTTTAATTCTGTCAAAATTACCATGAACTTGAATCGAACCACTCAACTCAAGAAATGATGAGTGTAAGAAAAACAAACTGTCGATAACGCATGCACAGAAGGTAAGACAGGTAGAAGAAGACCAAGAAAGAATATGTTGGGCAGCCTGGCATTACTGGTTTTTTTTAAAGGATCATCTGTGTAAGAAATCCCTGAAAGGATGTTCCCTGTATGGATTCCAGGACCCCAGTGGGGATGGAGTGGGGGAGGGAAAAGATTCACTGCTCCATAACAAGCATGTCATAGAAGTCAACTGATTAGGGGTATTTCCTTTGAAGTCAAGAGTACATCTGCATGCGAGGCAAGGAACCAGCTTTCTACACATAATGAAGCCAGATCTGTAAAATAGAAGTGCATTCAAAACTAAAGTACTGGAACCAGACTAAAGTCCAGAAGTCGGCAAACAACAAGAACTTTCTGCTGAGGTTCATAGCCGGTAAATGCCAAGAATCAGAAAACTGAAATGAAGTGAGACAGAGGGCTGTGGACAAACATGACTGTCAATACATGGATAAGAAGAAGTGTTTATTCCATAGTTGCTGGACATTTTAAAATATTACAACAAAAACAGAAAAGCCAACAAGATTTTGTAGTCAAGGATATACAAAACAGACATAACAGAATCTGCAACATGTGACTGCAAAGCAGACATACCTCAGAATGTACTGCAGGTGTGACTGCAGAGCGGACAGACATCAGTATGTACCAGATGGGACTAAATGTTTAGCACGGCTAATGTCAAACTTAGAAGCAGTATTTAAAAAAAGATTGACATCAGTACCCAAATAGTCCTTGTCCTCGGCAGCAGACGTCATGTTTTTCACAAGCAGGTCAGTCAAGGCATCCACTTCTGCCTCCTTCTCTAATTTACTTGGGGGTGTCCCGGCTGGGACCACACTGCTATGCACAATCTGAAACAACAAAAACTTATGATGATCATCAAATGCCTTGTCGACTGGCATGAGTGATCATGTTTCCCAACAAGTATGTATGCAAAATGAATGAAGATTCAAAAGTCAAGTTCTGGAACAATACTAAAGTCCAGAAGCAAGCAAGCACACACGCACACACACAAACCAGAGCTTTCTGCCAGAATTTAAAGCCAGTGAACATGAAGAAGAAGAAGAACAAGAACAAGAATTCATATGCTGACATCTTTAAACAACATGACAAAAGGCGGTCAAGTTCTTCATTCAGTGTCTTTTTGTATCTTTTTCCATTAATCAGCTCTATAACATTCCTCTCTGTGTACTTAACACCCACACAGATATACATATATATCTATATCTATATACACACACACACACAGAGGGAGAGAGAAGGAAGGAGGGATAGGCATAGAAAGAGAGGGGGAAGGGCAAGAAAAGAGAGAGAGAATTTAAACAAATACACACAAATGATAACTGCATTCACAAAAGGCATGCATACATACCCACAGACCAAATAAGTGACACACACAGAACCTCCTGTTCTTTGTGTTCACCAGCTGCAAACTCCGGAACAAAGTACTGGTCGGCTGTACACGTCCGTTTTAAAGATCTGACTTATTTGTGTGCAGACTCTTGGTTTCCTGCTTCTCGGGCAGATGCATTCTGACTTCGAAGGAAACCCATAATTAGTCGACTCTTACAACATGCTTTTTAGGTAGGCAGCATGGTCCTATTCTCAACATCCCTCACAATGGGGCCCCGTAACCCACATGGGGAAAACAAAGAACCAAAAATTAAGGATTTCTCCAAAGATCCATTTGGATATTTTAACACACAGGCTACAAACTGACAAACAAACACTGACCTTGCTACCTGGCGGCACCATGGGTCCTGGCTGGGGCCTTTCTCCCACAGCTTGTCTCACCACCTGACCCCGGTTCACACGGTACAATTCAGAGGAGTTTGGGCTTCTAGGTGCTGACAAGTGCAAGAATTTAAAGATGTTATAATAGGTGGTGATTTGCACTTATAAAATCTATACTTGTGAAAAGAGATATCTTAGTTTTTTTGTGTGGTTCCAGGAAGCCATGTTTGCTCCACTAACAAGCATGTTGTAAAAAGTGGCTAATTAGGGTCTGGTAGCAATCGGATGGGTTGGGCTGAAAGACACAGTGAGAGTATAGTGCGGGTATGGGATACAGAGTACGATGATAGTGAATGTCTGTGTCCTTCCTTAGTGACTGAGACTTGACCTGTAACTCGGCTGTAATGAACCGAGACTGGAGAAAGTCGTGACTGTATGAGTTGACTGCTAACTAAACCACGGGTTCTTAGACTGGGCAATTGGACTGCAACGGACTACAAAACTGATGGGTTTTCACCTGTACGCACTGAGACATTGCGACTGAATTGTGTTAGATTGTGACTGTTAGAATTATAGGGTGTTTCGATTTAAGCACAGTGACCAAGTCTGTAATAATGTGTTTAGCTGTACAGTGGTATTAGTAGTGTTCGAGAGAGATAAGATTTTGGGCAGTAATGTATATGAGTAGGTATTGAAGTTATTCTGTTAGTGGGGTTAGCGTAGTAACTGGCGACTTGATCTGTCCTTACACATCAGCCCACACTATACAATCCTGGTGTGGAGTCCAGAGCTTGAATCGGAAACAAGGGTGGGTTCGGTCCAGGTATTATCTGTAGAATGGGTAGGCCCGGGAGTGAGTGGCGATTTTAAAGTCCTCATGACCACGTTTAAGATAGTGAGCGCCCATCGTTTCTGGGGTTAACTACCGGCTGTTTATTGTTCTGTACATTAAAGATTGATGTGTGTGCTTTGTAAGTGTTTTTTTGGCTTAGGGTGTTGTAGTGATTGATTGTCTTTCAGTCCCCTACCAACGAGTCACATGCCTGCACGGAAGGTATAAGGTTGCTGACACACAGATAGTGCAACCTAGCTGTAAACTGCAACATTAATGGGTAAACACACTGAAGAAGATACCTTAGAAAAGCTGCCAATGTGATCAACCAAGATAAGGGTGAGAAATGATACTGTCAGACAGACCGTGAAAACATGTAGCAAAAACTCCTCAGAGCAGCGATGTCAAAAGACATCCCCTTTCTCTGAATTTTACTGTCCCTTTACCTTCCTAACACTCTCTGAGGGTGGTGGTTAGGGGGGGGGGGGCACCCTTTGATTCGCCTGCCGATTAGTTTCTGCCACCCTTGCACTACTGGTCTGATACTCTCCGGGACACATCACCCTGGCCATGTTTGTTCCACATACTCATTCATGGTCTCGCCTCAGCTAGTGCTGACGGTATCTGGCTTTTTCCTCACAAGACTTGCACAGGACCTTCCTCTGATGTCTCTTACTGGAGACACTGTATGGAGTGGCATGCCCTATCACCACTGGCGGATGGGATGCCCACTGACATTTGAGTTGGGGTCTTGTATGCAGTATATGTACCTGACAGCCATGGACAGTGGGTTTGTCACTTTCCGTGAAAGAATATTTAAAAAAGTAACTTGAGAGCCTGCTTTTCCTAATGCCGTTTGGTACTTTGCGGAGGCTTGTCTTAAGACCTGGACCTGATTATAAGATTACCCTGTATGGTTCTTGCATTTATTCAAGCCAGAGGCTTTCTGTGCGGCTTCACCCAGCTGTTTCAGTGGCTGCGCTCTTGCTTGGCCACGCAGCCCTAGTTAAATGGGCCACACACTGACTTTTATCCAGCCCCATTGTGCCTACATCAATGGCGAAGAGTCCTGCTGTGTACTCCTCCACAGTTCTTAGACTGAAGATCAGATCACTGTACTTCTCCATCTCGCTGGTGTGTTGTTTTTCTATCCTCGATTCATAGGGAACAGTGAGTTCTTTCATTATCAGCTGGAACGTCGTCATGGAGTGAAATACAATGTCTGGTCTTAACTGGGTCTTTCGAATTATATCGGGACAGCCGTCATGCCCTTCAGGTCTACTGCTAGTCACCAATCGTAAGCGCATTTGAGGATGGAAGTGGATTTTGCGCCATCGCTGACCTTACGGCTTGACTTTTGCCCAGCATTGAGGAAGTTCATGGGTTGGTTTTTGTACTGGTTGGTCTTGTCCGTCCATTGGCCTTTAGTCTCACATGTTCCACAATAAAGTACCTTGTTGTGCCTCCATGTGTGGCAGGCCCTGAGAGAGCGCTTACTTGCATGCGAACAGAACGCGTTCCAGTGTTGGCCTCATAACACATAATCGGCAACATGTGTTAAATAGACTGAGACATCAGAAAATAAAATATTCTGGGTTTTATTTTGTTGTTTCTAGAATGAAGCAAAACTGGCCACCATCACAGAGGCTACATATTTGCAGACAGAAATGAGAGAAAGAAGATAACCCAGAAGATGATGGACTAACAATACTAGTGTGGATGGGCAAGAAGATGGACTGACAACATTAAATGTTCAGTACCAAGCATCTGGATCTGGAAAGCTCAACACCTTACAAACGATAGAGAACAGCTGCAGCAAACATTGTACTTCCTAAATTTATCACTCACATTCTCAGCCAATAATAGGATTAGAGAGAGGAGTCAGTAGTAGTCAGTACTACCTGTTCTATTAAACATAGAATGTTGGGTTCAGGCATAAAGCAAACATGACATCCTATTTGTCAGCTCAACTTCTCACCCCATCTCATACACTATAACCTAGAATGTATGATCACTAATCTTCTTGGCATTCATCAGTTCCTAACTTCAGCAGAAAGTTCTGGTTGTTTGTCCACTTCTGGGTTTTATTCTTGTTCCAGAACCTGAGTTTAAACATCTTTCTCATTTGTATGCAGACTACTGGACTTTGGTTCCTCTCCGACTTAAAAAAACCCACCACCTTTTAATTATGTTTTATGACATCCTTGTTAGGGGGATCGAACCAGGCACCTCTGCATTACGAAGCGCATTCGCAACACCTAAGCCTCAGATGTCGCCTAAGAAACATATCACAAAAAGCGACTGAAATCAGATGTGAAGGCACAGATGCTGCAGCCACCCTGTAAACCACAACACAATGTACCAAATGCCCACAATGTGCCAAATGCAGAAGAAGAAACAACATGATGATGATGACGATCATGATGATGATAATAAAAAGAATCACCTTGATCATAGCGAACATCCCCGTATCCAAACTCTTTATTTGTTGGAGTTGGGGGAGCAATGTTGATCTGGATGTTGGCATAGCTGGATTCTTTTGGATAACCAGATGAATAAGAACCTGGATTAGAGCAGAAGATGCTAAATGATGAAAATGAAAGATATACTGATAACCAAAATAAAAACAAGAAAAAAAAGATACACACTAAAGAGGTCATCTCACCCTGAACCTCTTGCACTTTGCGGTGCAGAGGTGAGGTATCATCTGTGAGAGAGTTCCTGTTTGTGCACTTCTTTTATGGGGGTGCTCAGGGACTCTATTTTTTCTCCTGCTCATCACTGACATGGCCAGCCTCTCTTTCCATTTTCTCACTTGGTCTGTACATCAAGATCTGAACATCAAGAAAGATTGGCTAATAAACAGCATCCTTTCTCGGAAGCTGAAATATTATGGTCATATCAAGCGCCACGACAGATTGGAAAAAATTATAGAAGGCATGGTACCAGGAAGGAGGAGCTGGGGCCGACTGACATGAAGATAGGCACAGGATATAAGTGACTCCTTGAGTATGAAAGTACATGAGGTGGGAGAACTGGCGAGAGACCGAGTTTCTTTCAGGCAGACTGTGATGATAGCGACATTCTGCAAAGGACCCTCTATATGATGATGATGATTGCCAGGTATGCAAGACAGTTGAAACAGCTTTACTTATTTTGTAAAGAAAAGAAATTCAGTGCTGCTACAACCGTGGCCCCCCCCCCCTTTTCCTCTCTAAAAAAATTAATCATTTATGATCAACTCTCTTCTAGATATGTCACCATTAGGCTCTCTAGTACATCTGACCCAAAACAAGCCCAAAGAAGACTGGTGAGTTGGGTTGAGTGATGGACACGAATGATACAGGTACTGAGGGAGATTCATGGAAACCAGACGCTATGGACCTTGTTATGAATGAAGGAACATGAATCAATGAATGAAGAATTAACATCACTGCACACGGGAAATTCCCACACATGCTCCATCCTCTTCTTCAGCAGCTAACGAAAAGTGGACAGACTAACAGTACCAACTGTGGCTTGAAGTCCATGTTTCCCCCTAAGCATTGAATATCTTCCAGAACCTCAAGTAACTCCCCGCTGAATTAGTCTTTCGGTGTATGGATTCTCTGTCCGTTCCACTGCACTGTCCAGTTGATTTCAGAGAACCTTCACCACATCCGCTTTATAGATTAGAGGACTGCCCAGTTTGTATTATGGAGGCAGGGGACTTTGTCCCTGGTTTTAACTGACCTTGCCATCACCATGGGTCATGACTCCAATGCTTCTTTATAGCAGAATGGAACACTAACATCCGAAAAAGACAAAAGTATCACAAATACCAAAAGATTTCACTCACTCTGTCACCATCCTGTTGTGCCATTATAGGTCAAACAGGTTTCGCAGTCTATTTCTCTATTCCATTCGATTCTGAGCAATTATTTCGATATGGATAGAATTCAGTCGAGCATCTTTGGCTTCTCTCATCAACATTCACCTTAGGGTTGCTCTTGCATGTCCTCTTTCCACAATCCCTCTATTTCCAGTGCCTGTTTTCTGTTTGTCTCTTCTCAGATCGTGTCCAATATAGCACCACCTTCTCTATCTTATTATGCTGAAACTAGTGGCCACCCTTATATTTGTCTTACTTTTTCACTCCTTTTGAATTCATTCCATTTTATATACATCAGTTCCCTCAGGCATTTGTTTTTCAATACATCTGACTTATGTTTCATGTCTTTGGTGGTTTTCCAACTTTCACAGGCATATATTAAAACTGAAAAAACACTAAAAATGAAAACATGTAACTTGATTTTTAAACTAAATAATTCAGAGTTGCCCATTTTGTTCAGGCTCTTAAAAGCTGCTTATGTCTTGCCAATGTGTGTCATAATTTCTTTCTTTGTGTAACTATAAGATCAGAAAAATAGGATTGTAGAATCACTGACACAGAGCTTTAGGAAAAAATTTAACAAATTTAAGAGAATTAAGTAGTGATGCAAAGACAATTAAAGGAGATCAGAAACACAAAGAAAAGATAATTGCATTCCTCTGGACCAAGACAGGCAAAACATAATGTGAGTTACATGCCATGGAAAAGGACAGAGTGATGGCACAGGTTGTTTGAGGGACTATACTCCACTTGGGAGAAAAAAGGGGTGGGGGGGGGGGGGGGGAGGTTATAAGGAGAAGAGGAGATATCCTCTAACATCTAGCTGTGTTTCTAAATATAAACTCACAACAACTTTCTTTAAACTTTATCCTTGATAGGTTGACCCTGGGTGAGTGGCCGGTGCCCTTCCCCAAAGCTACTCAGACAATTCAAAAACTAAACTGGAGCATCAAATGATCACTCACCTGGTCCACTGTCATTCAGCCCTGGCTTGGCTTGTGGTAGCGGGGAACCATACTCCTGAGGTCTGTAGTCTTCAGCTCTCATGTATCGAGCCTCACCGCTGTAGACATTACCATAGGTGTGGCTGTCGCTCTCACCATAGGCCTGCGGTGGAGCAGGTGGAGGAGGTGGAGGAAAATCGTCGTCACGATCAAAGTTATAGCCTCTATGTCCCACATCTGGAGGTGGTGGAGGGAATGATCCAGATTCTTTAGCGTAATGCTCAACATTGACAGGATGGTAGGCCTGCACACCTGTGGAAAGCAAGTCAAAATTCACATTGCTTTAATGTAAGAAATGAAGACTGGAATAGTCAACTTCTGATTGTAACTTTCAGCATCAAAAGTCTATAACACCAGCAAAGCAAACTCAGGTAAACATTTTGAGAATGTGCATCTTTCCTGTTGCACTAAAGAAATGTAAATGATAAAATATTTCACACTCAGTAAAGCAGACATTCGAGACTGTGAACTTGAGAATGAATAAGAAGCAAAGTACTCATTTTGTGTAGGTAATTGAAATCGGAGGTCTGAAGGCTGCCTTCTGTTAGCTTCTATAGACACAGCTCCTTATGAATGACAGGTTCAATATTTGGAAGTGAGGTTACAGTCATGAGCAGAAAGTAATGATTCCTTTAGTGAGCCCAGTACCAGAGCACCGCATATTAGCTCTGCATTCATGGAAGCCTCCCTGGATGGTAGGGAATGCTCATCCTCTGCCCCCTGCCTTCTCTAGAGGATTCACTAGCAGTATGTAGCTACTCTGGACCGGCCTGTGTGTGAGGGTGGGGAGGGAGGAGGCGGTGGGGGGGATGGGGGAGCACAGCTTTTAAACTAGGAAACAAAGATGACCACACAACAATGAGACAGCAGTATCGCATAAAATTAACTGGGAAAACTAACCATGGTAGCAAATACTTGCAGAGCTGGATGTGACGGCCAAAAAGAGCAAATGTTGCAGCCATGTTTTAAATGGGCACAACACATTTATGCTTTCGGATGAACATAGAAGAAGAAGACAAAATTCTTTCAAAAGGTTAAGCTATTTAGATAAGTTAGACATAGCAAGCCAAGATATTCTGGACATGTTATAAGGGGGTAAAAATGATGGGAAAAGTGCATAGGGTAAGACACATAGATACCCGAACGGTCTGTCGTTATAGCAGGGACAGGACAAGAACACAGTCCTGATCCAAGATGCTGGTGATTGTGTGGAATGAGGAATTGTGATTGCCAAAGTGCAGCATCGTGGCACATGATGATAGTAAGAATAAAAAAAGAAAGCGAGGGGACAGACAAGCGTTTAAGAAATAGAGTGATAAAGAGAGAGAGAGAGAGAGAGAGAGAGAGAGTGAACAGCATCAACCTTTGAGACAGGCACTCACCATGGCGAAATAGTTGAGGTGACTGACCATAAGGTTTCGGTGAAGTTGCTGGAGGAATCTTCTGGCTGGTGCGCAACTGGCCAAAGTTCTGATCTACATTTTGATAAGCCATGGTGATGTGATCTACAAATATACACAAGTTTTGAACATACAGAACAAAATTTAGAATTCTCTCTCAAAGTTTAGAATTCTCTCTCTCTCTCTCACACATACACCTCGTTCCATCTTCCCCTCTCTCTCTGCTGTTTGGAATTTTTTTTTACATAAAGCTAATTTCTTCTTTGTTCTGTGTTTATCAATACATCATCGTGTGCCCTGCCAACTGGCATAGGTGCTTTTGCATCTCCACAGATCACAATCCTTGGTTTCCTAGAATAGTTCTCTTGATGATATCCCTCCATGCCATCGTTTTAGCCCATCCAGCATCATCTCTCTTGGTCTGCCTCTACTCCCTTTTCCACTGATCTTTCCAGTTGTCACGATGTTCTCTAATGTCTTCTCTTCTCATTATGTGGCCAAAGAACCGTGTGTGTCTCTTTCTTATTGTTGTATACAGAGATCTACATTCATTAGCTTCTTTCAAGCAGTCGTTGTTAGTTACTCTGGCCGTCCAAGGTATTCATAACATTCATCTCAGAAATTATTAATACACCCTACACATTTTGTTTGTCCAAGCCTTTTGGTTCTCATGTCTAAAATTCACCATCTGCAGTCCTCAATATGTCGAGGCTTGTATTCTCTGCCTGCAGTCTCAACCTTCCTCAGCCGTGTGCTACAGAAGGAACTGACGGTGAGGAAGAAAACATACAATCCTCTGAAAACACCAACATAAACGGTATCATTTCTTGCCCAGCTGTTTGACAGGGTAGGACTTCCTGTGTGGGTTCCGAGGTCCATTTTAGGTAGAAAAAATAGACCAAGTGCCTCTTTAAAAAACAAAAAACATGTTGTCAAAGGCTACTAATAAGGGCCCTGAAACTGATGTGTTGGGCTAAAAGGGCCATACATGGCATCCTAGCTAAGAACTACAACAGAATGTGTCAGCTGCACTTTTAGGGCTGAATACAGAAATAGGAGACAGGATATGATGAACAAGTGTACAAACAATCTGTATTTTTAAAAGCCTGTATTTTACGCTGGTCTCCACATCAGCACATCACTGGTTGTAGGTCAACTCCATTGATAAGTTGGCTGGACTAGTCTACCGTGGTCTAGGTTATGGGCGTCGCAGTCTGTTGTTGTCTGGCATTTACGTTTCTATTTCCGAGAAAGAGACCGCCTATGATATGGGTTTTGTCACTCTCTAGAGGGGTTGTGTGTTGGACCCAGTATCTAAATGTTTTAGACGTTTTAAAAGCTCTGGCATGGTGAAATATACAACACGCAGTATGAGGGCGCCAGCGGAATTTACCTGTGACCTTGTGTGAAAGTCGGATCACTTGAGGCCGACCTATCAGGAGTAAGCTGGGCAGTAGGTGGTCCAATCAGAAGCGAGCTAGTGTGTAGTTGTGTGCTGATGGGCAGACGAGCATAAAATTTACCATAAAAGCTTCAGAACTCCACACATGCCTGTTTAACCCTACCAGACTGCTGGCCCGGTTTTCCAGGAATTTCATAACTGTTCTCTATACCGCTGGCCCTAATTTTTGGCTATTTGCATAGTGCGTGAGAAAGATGTGTCACTGACTAAAAATAACCAACCAATCCTCATCAGTCCGCTTTGTTAGACATTGAAAATGGCTTCTTCATGTGTGAATCAATTTTGTGTGTTTTAACTTGACAAAATTAGGAAAATTCAGAATGAAGCGAGCGACTGATGAACCAAGTTCTAGGCTTTTCACAGTCCACAGGTGATCAATACTTTGGTTTATTCAGACTCTGTGATATATATATATATATATATATATATATATATATATATATATATATATATATATATATATATATATATATATATATATATATATATATATATATATATATATATATATATATATATATATATATATATATATATATATATATATATATATATATATATATATATATATATATTCAGCGATAATTTCATAAGAATACGTTCTTGAAGTGACACTGTCAGTGAGAGCGCGAATGATGAGGAAAATCTTGAAAATTATCAATCTTGAAATAGATAGATAGTAAGAGGAGGAGGTGTGTCCATCAAACGGCAACATCTGGTGTTCACTTTGTGAAACAAAGTTGATCCTGATGAGTGAATTCGCACACAGAGATGGAATATTGGCGCTAGATAAAAGGTAAGCCTATTTTCTACAATGTCTCCAAGTTTCATCATATTCTAGCCACTCGTTTGCATAAAACTAATGTTTGTGTATATCATGTTGGTTTTTTCGCCATAATGCCCAGGAGCTCAGGTTATAGGGACAGTGAGGTTCAGGGCCTCAGGTCTGGTAGGGTTAACACTCTGCCTTTTCCGATCTTATTTCTGTCAAACATTATTTCTTTCACACTCCACTTAACAGGAAATAGTAAACACATGTGACAAATAAATTTAAATTACAAATACTGGAATGTGCTTCGACTACTTTTCTAAATAAAAACAGACCTTGGTGCAGTAACTGCAAGAACAGATCTTAGTACAGTAATTACAATAATAGATATTATTATAATAATTGCAACAAGCTTGTCCCTTCCTTACACCAAGCAGAAAATGGAAATTATAAAACTATAACAGATACTGAAGAAAGGAGTGTTTTGACGACACGCACATACAGCCACTCACAAGAAGAAACACTTGAGAGCATGCATAGACAGTTTGGTTTAAGTAGAAATGTCACCAGACTGTCTCGAGTGTTTTGTTTGCCCTTCTTCCTTGGAGGCTGCTAGAAACAATGATGACTGTACTATAGAGTGTGCCTCAGTATAATAATTTCTATAACTTCTTTGTCTTCTTCTTAGTGTTCACTAGCTTTAAACTCTGGCAGAAAGTTCTGGTTGTTCATCCACTTCCGGTCTTCTGTCTTGTTCCAGAACTTGAGCTTTGAGTGCACATCTATTTTTACAGATCTGACTTAATTATATGCAGACCAAGACTGCCTCCAGGTGACAAGCCATGCTGCTGATGTCACCAAACCGGGCTAATGATATGCTAATACAGCATTTCCCAAACTTTTTCGTAGGGCAAAAAAAATATTTTGCGGCACACCTATACTCAAAGCGGTTCGGATACTCAAGAAAAGAAAAGAAAAAAGAGATTTGGAAACATTCTTTATTACTGTCCCAGAACCCAGTTTGAGAATCACTGCATTAACGTATCGTTAGCCCAGTTTGGTGACTCAGCAGCATGGCCTATCAGCTGGAGCCGGTCTTGTTGCAGATTGTTGGTTCCTTGCCTCTCAAGCAGATGCCCTGTCTTCAAAGGCAACACCCCTAATTAGTGGCCTTTTATGACAAGCTTATTTGGGGAGGGGGTGGAGGAGGTTTTTGGGCGGTGTGTCTATTTTTATTTACCCCCAAAATGGGGCCCTGGAATGCATAGAGGGATTATTTAGTTTTAAATGATTTCTGGATTTGCTCCCACTAGATTTGCATCTGAAAAATGGCTCCTTGAGCCACTGGGTGTCAATTATTTACGCAGAAGTCCTAGAGGCTAGCTGCAATCTGCATCCACTGCTTGTTCTGGGGGAATATTATATGGAATGTTCCAATCTTTCTATGCTCCAACTCTCATACTATGCAGACGTGGTGAGGAATGAACAGGCAGACAGATTGGCTGGATCTGCAGCACTGGGTGGTGAACTGATATAGGAAAAGGCAGACGTGGTCAAGGCCCTTTTGGAACAAGTTATGAAGTTGGAAAAGAAACTGGATTATTATGTCCTGGAGAGAATGACAGTTAGTACTGGAACTCTGTGCTGACTGCTGAAGATGGTGACAAAGCATGTATGGGAATGCCCCGAGTGCTAATATGTCAATTCTTGACTCAACTCTCATACCACTGCCCAGAAGCCATTAATGTCAATCTTATTTTTAATTTCTCACCCTGGAAACAGAACCTTGGTATCTCTAGCAGGACCTTTATTCTAGAAAAATACAAATGTGTCAGCACTCACTGTGTCTGAAATAAAAGTTGCCAATGCTGTGTACCCTTGCGTACTGTCAAAAAAAAAAAAGTTTTATCTCTAGGACTGTGAAACGAATTACTACTTCTAAGTAGTAGCTGTTTAATTGACAATAAAATGGAGGGCTAATCTGGTCAATACATTTGCAAAGAAGTTGGATTTGTTGGCCAAATATGCAAACACAATGCAGCTGTTGTAGACACAATTATGCTCCAAAAAAAAAAAAAAAAAAAAGAGGGAAATTTAATTTAGAATGTAAGGAATATTAAAAAAAAAAAAAAAAAAATCAGGAACCAGGGAATGTTACTCTCTACCCAAACCTTGCACAGTCGACTGAACATATATTCTTTATAGATAAGTGCTACTGTGGGGGAAAGTGACTTGTTACAAAAGGAGGTCTTCATTTTCTGAAGTGAAGCTTTTGCTTGGCCTACCCTGCTCTTAATCTGTCATACATTTTAAATGAACGTTTTTACTACCATACTATGTGAATTTATTGACTTGGTAGACAAACGGTGTAGTGGTGAGTGTGTTCATCTGCTGAAAGGCTGGCCTGGGTTCAATCTTCTAAAGTGACAGGACTTGTTCTGAGCAGAATAGCTCTGAAGACCCAGTCCCTTGAACATAGGTAGCAGACAATTTATAAGATTTTCTGGGAAATTTTGGGAAAATGATGAGGAAGGAAAATGACCAACCACCCAACTTTTGGTCTAGAGCATGGGTGTTAAAAATGTCAACATAATCATATAATTGGGGTATAGGGTAGGTACTTGCTCCTCTTGAAGATTGCAGTATGCAGTAAACTTTGACAAACCACAAAAAACAGTTATATTAGAGCACCTGGCGGTTATGTAACCCAACAGTTAAACTGGTTATGTGTCTATGATTACCTGTCAAGTGGTCTAAAAAAAATTAACTGGTTACGACGTGCGACTCTGGTTAACTGTCAAGTGGTCTAATTACCTGTGTCTTTGGTTGACTGTCAAGTGGTCTAATTACGTGTGTCTTTGGT